AATTAGTGCTGATGGATTAGCAATGTCTTACAGAGACACATTCTATTTTAGTTAAAAGGATTTAGAGTATTTCTTGACCCTAGAAACTGACATCCTATAGTTACTATTGAAAGTAATAATTATTTAAAGATTAAAAAACAACTCTCTCTTGATAAGAACATGTTTAATTTAGATAGAAGTTAGGCATTAGGCATATAGTTTTGTTTCCTAAGAAAATAGATTTCTATAATTATTCTTAAAAATATGACAGGACGCAGTCTATTTAGTTAACAATTTAAAATTTCTCAAGAACAATATTAAACAATACAAATATAAGCAATACTGTGCATATAATGAGACAAGTGTTCAACTATTTATCATTCAACAAAAAGCAAATTTTAGGGCATGATATATTTAAACGTGATTTTAACACTGTATTTGATTTATTTGCTGACACTTGCCTCCTCTATAACCTCTGGTATTTGAATCCAAGTTAATCATACAGTGTCCCAGTGACATGACCAAAGAATTAAACTCAATTCTATCTATCACCCTTACAAATCCCCCCACCAGGAACAAAGTCCATATCACCTGCCAGTTCATAGCCCTCTGCTTGCTATCTCTGCCCTGCTGACAGTAAACCACCAGCTAATTGAACAGATGCACCCAATGCGTCTTCCTAAAGATCCGCAAAGCTGGACTTTGATGGACAGCAGAAAGTAGCATGATGAGAAAACAAAAGCTTTTTAACTGAGAGCAGTGCTTTGTTCTGCTTAGAACTTTAAGGTCACTCCAGCTCATTTTGACTGCTGTGCGGATCTTAATTTTTACTCCACCAATTTACTTGCAGCTGTCATTCTTTCCAATATTAAAAGTTCAGCTCTTCAAGTATGGGGAATTGAGAGGGAAAAAAATGAGAAGAGCTTATTACAAACTAAAAACAGCAAAAACAAGTAAAATCTGGCTTGGCTCTGAAGTATAAAAAGTTATTTTCAAAGCTTATAAATTATGACATAGTGATTAACATGTAATTTAAATATATTTAAACAACAATTATATCACATTTCCAGCCCAGCTAATTGGCCTCACAGATGTTCCCTTGGAGCTGTATTGCCCTTCCAGGGGGGAATGAATGAGGTGCTTTTTATCATGGAAAATAGATAAAAAAGCAAACTGAAAAAATGGAAACAGAAACATAAAAAGCAGCCAGTAACCCTAAAAACAATGAATGCTAAAGGGGTTTGCTTTGCATTTTTTCCATTTTAATGCTGGAAACAGGGAAAAGCATGACAACGCTCCTGTTACTGCGATGCTATTTGGCTGTATGTCCAGACACAGAGTTGGCAGGTTGCTAACTGACAGACTTGTCAAAAGCAGGGACAGTGGATGCATTCTAATAGGGCATGGCCTTGCTTTACCTCTCAGTACAGAATAACTGCAGGAGGTCCAGTTACTTTAATACAACGCCTTTACGATTGAAGGCATTCTAGCTTACATAACGGATACAGATAATAAACTGTTTCCTAATGAAGAATGACTTGCGAGTTATTTCTTTGATCATTTATCTCTCAAGGTTTATAAAACGCAAAATGTGCAGTCAATACTGGTTCCTTAGCTGAACATTCTAGTAGAATGTTACCTAGTACAGCAACACTTGCAAGGTCAGGGGTGAAAGGGACACTGGTAATCATGAATATTTTGGAATACCTTGCCTTCTAATGTAGAATCATAGAATGGAAATAAATCCACTCTGGCCTCATTCCACTTTCCTTTTCTTCTAACAATCTCAGGTAATATTTGATAGTACAGTGTAAATTCTAAAAGGTCAGTGGTCATGTCTTTCCTAGTACATTGTGGTGTCTCCAGCATCTACCACAGAGCCTGCGGTTCATTGTAGAAATTTAATAAATATTTGCTGAATAATTGGTGTTTAATGATGAAGGTAAGGCCAGTGTTCGTAATATGATAAAGTTCTACCAGGCTGTTGCTATATCTCTTGTACCATCCATCTGTATTACAGCTCACTGGACTATATAGAAAATCCCTTTCTCAAATTTTATGAACAAGTGTATTTGATTTCATGTATTTCTAAAAGATAGCAAAATACACCCATATTTAAGATGATTAGTGAACAAGTAAATATTTAAAAATGCCTCTTTGATGAGTAGCTTTGTCATCTTCATTGCTTGACTTTACAAATTCAATTTAGCAGATGTGAATATTTAAATTTGATATAGCCCTTACATTTATATAATAGGGCAGAACTTACAAAGTTCATCGATATATATTATCTTACTTTATCTTCTTTAAGAGTAAAGTAGAGAGGCCAAGAATGAAAATAAAGGTCTCAGCTGTTTCATGATTGAGCAAATTCACACCACTTATGGAGCCCAGGGCTTCTAACTGGTCGTAAAACAATCTGTTGTACAATACTACCTCCTATGCATTGCATATTAAATATATCTCTAACTTTTTGTTGTTATAATCTTCTATGTGTTGTTAGGTTATTAGAGAAGAAAAAAGATAAATATTTTCTATGCCATCATAGTTGTGGCAGAAATTAAGATGTAAACTCACTACGGGGATTCAGAACTTGTCCCTTGATTAATCCAACAGACTGTTAGTTAAGGGAATTTACATTATCCAGTTGTAATTGGTTTACATTAAATAGTTAATCTCCATGGGACCATATTCTTCTTAGATTGCTTTGTGAATTTCTAAATTATATAAAAGTTCACCTGGAATAATATTTAGCTATGTTTCATATAAAAGATGTAGACATCTTAGAAATTTATTTTAGTCATCTCTGTTCACTTAAAGCTGGAATGTACAGAATGCAAGCCTCATAAAATCAGCTATTAGGCCTGCATTATTCATTATCCCCAGTGCCTAGAAAAGTGCCTGGCACATAGACAGTAGGTTCTCAAGAAATGTATTTAATGAATTTTTTATTAAGAAACAGAGTTGTTATTCATACAACCCTTTCTCCTTACCCTAAGGAGCATTGTTCTTAATATTTTATGGTATTTTTATATCCGCTTTCACTTAGTCCATAGGCTGGAGTGTTAAGCCATAAAAATATAGATGTCTTTTTGTTGTTTCTTTAACTGAAATCTGGTTTTGACTGATTGTAGATATTAATACATAAAAGGAATCTAAAGTATGTTTCCAGGAAAGAAATTGATTTTCCAAATTTTCTGCTATTTCTTAACTCAAAAAGAAAAAAGCAAGACTGAAGATAAAATAGTATGTACCTTTTTATAAGGAGAGGTACAAAGTTGACCCTTTACTGAAATAGTGAAAAATAAATGTAGCTTAATTGCAAAAATCATTCCAGGCAAATTGAAATCTACTTCTATCTCCTTTTACACGTTTCTTCTTATAAGAGAAAAGTTAATAATTGTGGTGTATGGTCATTTCAGTCATTTGACATGTAAAGAAAGAAACTTTTTCATTTATACCTATACTTATTTATTGCTTTTCCTTTCCTCTGGGTTAATCAGAAAAATGTTTATTGTTGACTTTTTTTTAATCTTTTGAAAAATTTAATTTTTTCTGTGTGATTTTCTTTTCAGGGATTGAATTAAATGAATTAATTTCCTCAAAACACATAAACAAACTTGCTTGTAGTCAGAATGCATAGAGTTTTACTGTTTAGGAAACTTCACTGTTGTGCACGTTTTCCCCTTTGGTTCATACAACTCGTGGCTTTTCTTTTCTTTTCTTTTTAATTTTTTTCATTCATATTGCCTCTTATTATATCCATCATTCCATTTTTCTTTCCTATTAGAGTGAAATTGGACACAGCCCTCCTCCTGCCTACACCCCCATGTCAGGAGTAAGTATTTCACAATCAACCTTCATCTTTTAGGATTTTTGGTCTTTGCTTACCATATTTCCTTTCTCTTGTCTCCACATAATTTTTTTCATTTTGCCTTTGCCAACAGTGAGTTAAGAATTTGCTGTAGATTGTGTAGCTGGCTTTGTAGATGTGTTTTATCTCAGTAGATAATCCAAAGTTCAGATATCATGCATCAACAGTAGCTTTCAATTTTTATCTGAAGGATTTACGTGGGCTCATAAATTATACTTCTTGGTGGAGGAAGGTTATCTTTACTTCCATGATCATAGGTTATATACTAAAAAGTCAGAATTTCAGTGATGATTCTCTAGTTAGGTACTCAGAAACTCATTGTAATCCCAGAATAGAAGGTAATACGAAAATAGCACCATTCAAAATATTACATATCAATGTACTTCTATTCTTAAAGACAACAGTGAGTGACACTGCCATTTGTCATAAGAATTCACTTTGAATTTTATACTAAAAATAGGCAGTTGTAGGAAAAAGGACATCAAGTACTTTTTTTTTATTTCAGGAAATTATGGGGGTACAAACCAAATACTTTTCTTTTTTTTTTTTTTTTTTTGGAGACAGGATCTTGCTCTCTTGCCTGGGCTAAAATGCCATGGTGTCAGCCTAGCTCACAGCAACCTCAAACTCCTGGGCTCAAGCGATCCTACTGCCTCAGCCTCCCGAGTAGCTAAGACTACAGACATGCACCACCAGCCCGGCTAAATTTTTTTATATATTTTTAGTTGTCCAGCTAATTTCTTTCTGTTTTTAGTAGAGACGGGGTCTCGCTCTTGCTCAGGCTGGTTTCAAACTCCTGACCTTAAGCGATCCTTCCACCTCAGCCTCCCCAGAGTGCTAGGATTACAGGCATGAGCCACCGCTCCCAGCCCAGATACTTTTTTTTAAGTTATGTTTTAGTTGGCTAGCAAAATTAAAATATATGCTTTTGAATTATTTTCCCACAATTTACCTTTTAAGAAAAATTGAAATTTTAGGTGTTTCTAGTTTAAAACTCAAATTCATTAGCCACTAGAGAAAAAAATCAATAAATATTATGACTATTCTATGAAAGACTAGCTTTGATATCCTTTTGGTTATGAGCATTCATTTTTCACAACTATTCCTAACAACAGCTTCTCTCCAAATGTGTTTCTGCTATTAACAGAACCAGTTCGTATACCGAGATGGGGGCTTTGCTGCAGAACAAGGAGTGTCCGTGCCCTATAGAGCCACAACCAGCACCATCCCAGAAGCTCCAGTTGCTCAGGGTGCCACAGCTGAGATTTTTGATGACTCCTGCTGTAACGGCACCCTACGCAAGCCAGCGGCACCCCGTGTCCAAGAGGACAGTAGCACCCAGAGGTACAGTGCTGACCCCACAGTGTTTGCCCCAGAACGGAGCCCACGAGGAGAGCTGGATGAAGAAGGCTACATGACTCCTATGCGAGACAAACCCAAACAAGGTACGCACTGAGTATTCAGAAATGTTTGCCATTTGATGTTCACTTCCATCAAGGTAAACAAAGTATAGAATAGAAATTGCTGAACAGCTGCACTAGATAACATTTGTGACCCAGAAAAGGCCTAGGCTGCTGCTACTCAGAGTATGGTCCCCGAATCAGCAGCATCCACATTATTTAGCTATGTTTTAGAAATCAGAATCTCAGGCCCCGCCTGCATAGGAATCTGGATTTTAACAAGATGCCCAGGTTATCTGCATACACAATCAAGCTCGAAAAGCATAACATAAACATCGTTATTGGAATATTTGAATGAAGTAGCATATCACAAGATATCAGAACCACTGCTTTATTGGACTTTCATTTTTCAAAACTTAAAGTTTGACCTTGTATATACTTATAAGCCTACCACCAAGTCTTGAAAATAATAGTTTGTGGTTTTACAAAGTACACAATGATTTTGAATAGTAGTAGAAATGTTAAACACACAAATCAAATAATGTTTCAATTTTGGAAAAAAAGGCTTTTTCCTTCTAAGCTAACAGCATCACAAAACAGAGAAGATGGATGATTGTTATTAAAAAATGATGATCATGTCTCTCCGTGTCTTCGGTGTCAACAGCAAACTATATTTTAAGACTGTGCATTAGAGCCTGTTATGTCCTTTTCTATATGGTTATTTTCACTTCTATAAAATACAATTTAGAGATCCCCTGGTACACACTGTAAATAACTTAAATATTAAAATATATCTGTCTAGACACATAGAAAGATAAATAAATATATACTTATATATAAAAGTTTTAATGGAATGAAGAGTTGGATGTTTATAGTAACCCAGTAGTGACACAGATGTGGGTTTTGTGAAGATTTGGCAGATTCCCCCCAAAGCAGAATCCTCTCTGGAAAGATTGTCAACTAAATCATAAAGTTACTCCTCCACATATAACTTCACAGCTATGTAAGTTTGCATCAGGACAATAAATAAGTAGATTGCGTGGAGAAAAGGTAATATAAGGCTTCTAAGAGATGAGCAAGTCAGTCTATATAGTCTCGTAGTAGTCTCAGATTTTTATTTCTGAATAGTGAGATCCATTTCTATGGAAGGTTGTTGTAGTTTAATTCTGCCTTTCTTATAAGTTCTTTCATATATTTTTCAAATTAAAGCTTGTTGCTAAGAGTAAAGTTGACCCCACTCCTATAGGGACAATAATAAAAATAGTGCAGTAAAACAAGAAGATTATGCAGTAGGAGTTAGAAGACCTGAATTCTAGTCCAACACAAATTGTATCCTGCATACATCATTTACTCTAATTTTTCTGCTTATGAAGCTGGAAAAATAAGGCTTTTGCTTCCTTTTTCACAGAATTGTAAGAATGAAACGATAGTGTCTTTTAAATTATTGAACTGTAATTCATATATATGATAGTAGAACATTCATTACTTTATTATATCCAGTATACTCATATTCAGGGAAAAATAATCTTGGCTTGATGGAATTTTTCTTTCTGTGTCTTGGGCTAAGTATAGGGGTTAGAAAGTGTGTTTCAGAATGGTGACTTCTCAGTAGAGAATTGTGCTTTCTTTATGCTCTGACTCTAAACTAGCAATAGCTTAGGTTTTTGTGTATATAGTAAAAGAGAGGACAAAAAGAGTGTCTATAATATATGTGTGTATATGTAGTCTATATTATAGACATGGAGGTAGAATTAAGCTTGAAGAGAGCAGCATTAACTATTGGCATTATTCTTTTTTATATTTTAAGCCAATACCTATACTAGATGGATTTATTAGAGTGGACCATATAAAATAGGCACTAATTGGTTTCTATGTGCAAAGTAGCTATTTCATATAGTTTGCTATTTTGTGATTATGATTGGCCCGTGGAAATAACTGTTATAATTATACTTTGTTGTTAAGCAGAAGTATATGTAATGTTAAGCACATCAACTGGAGGCATATTAGATATCTGTCAGATTTGTTTTATTAGTTGAGTTTTCTTTCCTTAGATGCTTCCTTTTTCATGTGTAAAGGCTTTCTGTAAAGCATCTCCAATCAAATCCTTGTTACCTGTATAGGCATTCATAGCAAAACCATACAAACTAAAAAACGCTATTCCTTTATTTCCCCTCTTCATCTTGGCATAGAAGAAGAAATTACTGATTTTTAGGAAACAAAAACATTTAAATAACTGGCCCAATCAATATGCAGAAGAGAAAAATGCATTTGGAAGGAAAGAACAATCTAGGAGATAGGAATTCTGATCCTGGCCTTGTTGGTGCCTTGTTTTATCATTAACACTTTTGGTCCACTTACTCTTTTATTCATACTGCAATAGTGATCCACAAATAGTTCTGAGAATTCATGAAAACAAATCTGTGGCTTTCCTATTCTAGACAAAGAAGCTAACTATTGTATATAACTTGAGTCTGATTAACATTTTGTAGAAAGTAGATGTTGGCTGATACTTTTGTATTCCTTCAGAATACCTAAATCCTGTGGAGGAGAACCCTTTTGTTTCTCGGAGAAAAAACGGAGACCTTCAAGCTTTGGATAATCCCGAATATCACAATGCTTCCAATGGTCCGCCCAAGGCAGAGGATGAGTATGTGAATGAGCCACTGTACCTCAACACCTTTGCCAACACCTTGGGAAACGCTGAGTACCTGAAGAACAACGTACTGTCTGTGCCTGAGAAGGCCAAGAAAGCGTTTGACAACCCTGACTACTGGAATCACAGCCTGCCACCTCGGAGCACCCTCCAGCACCCAGACTACCTGCAGGAGTACAGCACAAAATATTTTTATAAACAAAATGGACGGATCCGGCCCATCGTGGCAGAGAATCCTGAATACCTCTCTGAGTTCTCGCTGAAGCCAGGCACTGTGCTGCCTCCTCCACCCTACAGACACCGGAATACTGTGGTGTAAGCTCAGCTGTGGTTTTAAGGCGGAGAGACACGCCCGCTCCAATTTCCCCACCCCCTCTCTTTCTCTGGTGGTCTTCCTTCTACCCCCAAGGCCAGTAGTTTTGACACTTCCGGGAGGAAGATATAGAGATGCAATGACAGTTATGTGCTTATCTAACTTGAACATTAGAAGGAAAGACTGAAAGAGAAAGACAGGAGGAACCACATTGTTTCTTCATTTCCCTGCATAGGTGGTCAGGAGAATGGAACAGCTAGAGAAGGACCAGAAAATATAAGGCAATACTACCTGCTGTCAAACTAGCTCTCACCTTTTTCATTTTTTCTTTCTTTGTTTCTTTATTCCTCTTCTTTTGCTTTTTTTTTTTTTTTTAAATGCACATGGTTGAAACACCCATGTTATCTGTTCCTATCTGCGGGAACTGATGTGTGCATATTCAGCATCCCTGGAAATCATAATAAAATTTCCATTAGGAAAAAAGAATAACCATCTGAGATTGAGAATCCAGTTTCTTTCTCCAACAGCTTCTATCTTGGCAAGTGAGAATGGGCAACCCAGCTCTCATAAACTCTAAAGTTATAACTGCTAATTATGTTTGGAATGTTTTTTTTTTTCATTTTGTTTTGCTTTGGCCTCTTCCTTTATATTAGTCTCTCCCCTATTTTTGGCTTTTATTTTTAATTGCAAAATGTTTATATCAAAGCTTCTTGACAGAATTTAAACAAGAAATATTTTAATATGGTGAAATGGCCACTATTTTAAATATACCGTCTTTAAAATGAGAAGGGGAGGCCAAGATATTAGTCAAATACAATTTCAAGTCTAGCTTTCATGTTTCGCACTATCAAATCTATCCTCTCTCTTTTTTTACATTCATCAGTATTTTCTTCTCCTCTGTAAATGACAGTATTTGACAGGCGATAATCTTAAGAGTAGAAGGGAAACGAAGGACAGCTCTCTATGGTTCAAGAAAACTACTGATACTTTCAGAGGTGGTACAAGTGAGGAATCCATTGAACTGGAAGAAACACACTGGATTGGGTATGTCTACCTGGCAGATACTCAGAAATGTAGTTTGCACTTAAGCTGTAATATTTTTGGTTCATTTTGTGAACTTCATTTTGGATTTTGAATGAAGCAATATGGAAGCAACCAGCAAATTAACTAATTTAAGTACTTTTTTAAAAAAGAGCTAAGATAAAGACTGGAAATGCCAAACCAAGCAAATTAAGACCTTGGGATGGTATCCAGGGATTATGGTGAGAGGCCAGCACATTATCTACGTATGATATCACATTTGCTACACAAGGCAATTTGTTCAGTTTGTATACTCCATAAGAAGGAATACAAGTAAGGATTGGCTTGAATTCTATGGAATTTCTAGTATGAGACTCTATTTATATTAAGTAGAAGGTAACTCTTTGCACATAAGTTGGTATAATAAAAAGAAAAACATAAACATTCAAGGATTATGAATAGGTCCTTGGGTCAAAAGTTGTAAATAAATGCGAAAAATCTTCTCATGCAATTATTTTATTATCCAACATACCAATCTTTTGATACTTCATATAATAGCTCCTTTCCTCACAAAAAGCATCCTAGTTCTAGAAACATCTTTACTATGTATCATTTTGAAAGAATACCTACTGAGTTAAGATGAATAATGGGAACAAATGACAGGGATGAGTCTCCAGGAAAACGAGGCTTCATATCAATAATAAGGAAAATTGGATTTAAGTCTCTTTTCTAGGAATTCCTGCCCCGAGTCATTTATATATTTTTAAAAATATTTTTTTCTAATGTCACAATATTGGGACCAAATTAATAAATAGTAAAAATGAAAGCAATCAAACTAAAAATCTCTATTGGCAAAACAGAGAGAGTTTAGAGGAAAAAAAAACCTCCAAGATCTATGTTTCTGCCTGTTTTGAAAAAGTAAACCATCCATCCATCCAAACCTCATTTATTCAACTAATATTTATTTAGAGTATACTAAAAGCAGTGCATTGTATGGGTAACACCTAAATAAAAGGAACATTTTTCCTCACTTCAAAATTTGGCAGTCTAGAAGATTTAACTGGAATAACATTTTAACTTCTCCATGAGTTCAAGGAATCAGATTGCACAGACTATTTTGTGAGAAGCTAGCATATAATCTGTTGTTTAGTAAGAGATCTGTGAACTCATTTGGGACATGAATTAAATATCCTTCAAGATATTGAAGTTGACAGACATGATAGTTTCAATGTTATCATCAAAATATAAACTGGTCTAGAAGGATATTGTATCACCAGCTAATTGGCTTATCTGGAGTCTAACTTCTCTGTTAAATCAACAGCAGATGGTGGTCTTTGGCCAAGAACCTTGGAGGTATTGGGGTTATTTTTCTTTTTTTTCAGCTATGAGAAGAAAGGTAAGATGAGTGTGGTAGAGCAGGGGAGGGGTTTGTGAGATCCCTTCTAGTGAAGTTCAACCACAAACTTCCCAGGGTTAAAGACGCAGAATGATTCAGGGGCCACAACCTAATAGCTCAGAGCTCTTTCACCCACTCAGAAAACTGTCTCCAGGAAAAGAGACCTCATATCAGTACTTATGAAAATTGAATATAGGCCTCCCTTTCTAGATAAATCCACACTGAGGCATCACTGATAGTCCCCTTTTGGATAGTGTACCTTGAAATTTTTTTTTTTTTTCTGATTTACAATGTTCATATGGTTTCTACTGGGATATGGAAAACAGAAACATTTATTTTGGAAAAGGAAAAAATAAACAACTTTTAACTGTCAGTGTAACAGAAATACATTTAGTGAATGTAGTCTCCTTCCTCCTAAGAACGTAAGACTCTTACATGTCAAGTAATCTCCCACTTTTGCAAGTATAATCCAAAATGACCCAAAATGCTTCACAATAGCACCACCTCATCATTCCTTGTGAATGATTTCTGTAGTATATACTTGATTTCAGTTGTTTGGGTTTTTTTTCTTTTTTTTTTTGTTTTGTTTTTGTCTCCTTAAGAAAACATATTTGACTGTGTTTAAGAGGGAGAAAAAAAAAAGTTTCATTTGTTGCAGAGAATAACTTATTTAACCCAGCAGAGTATAATTTTAAAAATGCCAGTTAAAGCCTTCAAAGTGCTTTGGAATATCTGGAATCTGATATTGCCAGTTGTATCAATGGAAACAAGCAGAATCAATTATGTAAATTTGAGAAAATTAAAATTACATTGACTATATTTTTTAAATCACCCAATTAGGTGCATCCTATTTTGGAGAATCCTATTTTCAAGCATGGAAAAACTCTGTAGCTAAAAGTTGTTTAAAGAAGTAGTCCGTAAACAGGAGAGAAAAGATGTCCTCTCAACCAGGGTAGGTCCAGAACCACAAATCATCTATACCACAAAGAGGACTACCCAGCAGCTCTTGGTTTTCTGAATTATATTAGTAGTATAGGTTAGGATGACAGTCCTTTCTTCAGTAACATTCTTAAAATAACATGAAAAACAATGCAAAATTCAAATTCTATTAAAACATACAAACTAAAAACAAGAGATTCTTTGTAGATTGGGAAGAATGACTGAAGATCTGTAACTCGAGAGAAAAAAATAGTGTTCTTCTAGGTGTTATAATGTGTGTGCTAATAACTTCTGAAGGAAGGACATGGCATGAAGATTACACACATTTCCAATGCTAAGGAAAAATCACTACCAGGAATGTGAGGCTCTGGTGCTAGATGAAGTTGGAGAAACGATCAATGTGCTTCTTGAAGTGGCAAAAATGAAAAGACAATTAAAATTGTTTAAGCCTGACAGGGAAGGATGTAAATATAAGTTTCTGTAGAGCTATCGAACTTTTATTTCACAACTTGGATTATTCATCCATCTGTAATTGTTGATTATTTAACTAGTATATGTAGTTCATAAGGTAATAGAAAAGGTGATATGAAAGCATGTATATAACTGGACAGAACCGTGATAATACTATAAGATGTAGATTTAGTTAGGTTATCAAATGTTAACTGATTTTAATATTATTAAATAAATCAAACTAGAAAGCTAACCACAAGTATAATGTAACAAAATGAAATGCAGGATATGAAAACGTAGGATGAATTTTGCATAGCAAAAAAATAAGTTTGCCATTTATGATTGTTATTGTTGAGTTTAGCTGAAAGTAGGCATATACGGTTCCACTTGTGAAAACTTACTTTAAATCATTACAATTAAAATTTTTTCTCATTCTCTTATTCCTTTATCACTTTTTAAATGTATTAAATGTGAAGGGAATTTTATTTTATTTTTTTTTGGAGTTTGTTTTGCAAACACCACCTTGTAGAATTTAGCAGGCAAATATGTTACATATGATTTTAAGTAAGAGGTCTTCAAAATGAAGTAAAGGAAATGTAAATGTTCTATTACCTTATGCAGAGACAAAAAATGAGTGGTGTCATTAAGTAAACAGACAAAATACATTTAATTTGTGATATGTCCTTTCTTTTTCCACAATGCCCTCTTGCCTCCAAAAACAACAACAAGGAGTAACAATTTTCTGACAAATAAATGCTAAACCAAGAATTTCAAACTACTGCATTACCATTCTTTTGAACCCTAGTTAGTAGACTGACGATTTGTTATGGGACAAATGAGAAATCCAGGTATACAGGTTTCTAGTTGTTAAAAAGCCAGGTAAACTAACTTCTGCATTACATGCTCCAGACAGAGGGACTCTGCTGTGCCTCTCTTTGTATGCATGGACTTTGATGTGTATCCGTTTGGAGGACAGCCTTGTACCCATGCAGGCATATAAAGGCAGATTGGTGTCTCCTGGTTGCCACTTGCTTAAGGACAAATGACATCATACAGGTATAGATCAGGTATAATTATTAAAGATCATTATCAGCAGAGACTTTGTTATTACTGATACTACAATGGGGCCAGCTTTTGTATTTCTGGGTAGAATGAATATAATTGTTCTGATCCCAGAGATCTTTGCAAGAGGAGTTCTCTC